ATCACCTACCTGTTCATACTTTTGACGGTTTTTCCATATTTAGGGTTTTCATACTTGCGACGGTTTTTCCAAATTCTAACCGTTCATAAATAGGGTACCCTATTCATAAATTCCGTCGCCTTTATGAATATGTCTATTGGAGTTGACACTCCAAATAATTTTTGATGCTTGATCTGGGTATTCAAATACTTTAATTGGCTTAAGTTCATTGTAAATGCACAAATTTTCATTTTTTGGTTGCTCTGAACTCGACATGCTTTGTAAAAATTTTGACTAGTCTAAACTCACTTCACTGAAATAAAATCAAATAAAATAAAAAAAACTTTTTAATTGGTTTAGATGTTGTAAACAGAAATTCATCAAAAGTGACAACTCAGAAAAGCTAAAATATTGAATTTTTGGAACTTTTGATAGAGCACGTTTTTAAATATTAATTAAAGTAAATGTATATTTTGTAAAGATTCTTTTTAATAAAAAATAAAATTTTGAAGAAGAACACAAAATCTTCTGAAAAATAATATCACATAAACTCATATTATTTTCTAATATATAACTATTTTATATAAAAATCAAATTCAATGATCTTAAAAGCGAAGGATAAACCTCAAAATTTACGAATATAATGAGTGGGAATATAATGCTTATCTATCATAAAACCATATGAAATATCAATTTTTGCTTTACGCCTAATTTTTGACGACAATTAGCAAAAAATGTTAAATGTTAACACTCAGTCCATTTGAATATGAAAATAAAATTGACTTTGATTAAATGTTTTTATTTATCATGCAATTCTTCTTGCGACCAAAGATTTGAATAAAAGTTCAAAAATAAGATAGCTTAAAAAATAATATACGGTAGTGTTTACTAATAGATGAATAGTATATAAATTCTATTAAAATGGATTTGATCCAAAAAATATAAAACCAAAAATAATTGTTATAATTTAAATGAAGAAGTAATTTAAAACGATTTTATTTATGATCAAATTTATATATTTTTTTGGATCAAATCCATTTTAATAGAATTTATATACTATTCATCTATTAGTAAACACTACCGTATATTATTTTTTAAGCTATCTTATTTTTGAACTTTTATTCAAATCTTTGGTCGCAAGAAGAATTGCATGATAAATAAAACATTTAATCAAAGTCAATTTTATTTTTCATATTCAAATGGACTGAGTGTTAACATTTAACATTTTTTGCTAATTGTCGTCAAAAATTAGGCGTAAAGCAAAAATTGATATTTCATATGGTTTTATGATAGATAAGCATTATATTCCCACTCATTATATTCGTAAATTTTGAGGTTTATCCTTCGCTTTTAAGATCATTGAATTTGATTTTTATATAAAATAGTTATATATTAGAAAATAATATGAGTTTATGTGATATTATTTTTCAGAAGATTTCATTCTATATGCCTATGAAAAGTACTCTCAAAACTAACGTTTTCCTAATTATAATTAAATCTAGAATATTGTATTATGCTTAGTATTATTTCATTTTTCTCATTCAATTTAGAATTTACAAATGTCAAAAAATTGAGAGCTGTCACTTTTGATGAATTTCTGTTTATTACATAGATATGAGAACCGTAGTTAATTGTAAGTCTGTACAGACTTTTCAATACTCGATTTTAATGTCATTCAAATCACATCCAGCTTGATTTTTTGTTTGCATTGAACTTGACATGATTTGTAAAATTTTTGCTGTGGCATTTTTGGGAAAAAATCGTTTAAGGGTCCACTGTAAAAATTGAAAGTCTCTCAAAATTGAGAGGCGATTTGCAAATAATCGTTATCGTCTTTTTTCGAAAATCCACTTTTCCTAGTGTTCTGATTAATATTTTGTGAATGTAACAATAAAGTATATGTTTTAGTAAGATGATAATACATTCTATCACTTCAAATCACATAAAAATTGCAAAATCAGCGAGTTTTATAAGAACATGATTTTTTCGAATTTTTTCGCTTCTGGATGCGTGTTTTGAAAAATAGATATTTTCGAATTTTGATTTTAATTTAAGTATAAATTTTATATTAGGAATTTTTTTGACCTATTTCCAATCATTAATTCCTAAGTTTTTCTAGGAATTTAATTGAGAAGAAATTAGGAAATTCGCTTTAATGCCATTACATCCTAATATTGTGATGCATGTAGTTTATATTTATTGAGGCTAATGCCGGAATATCGTGCATTTTATAAAAAATTCAAAGAATTGACAATTGGATAGCACAAATTTAATTCTCTAGACAAAGTATTATTGTTTATATATTCAAAGCATTATCCTTCGTTTTGAAATGTTGGCCAAAAATTTTGGTGTTATTTTTTGTGTTTAAGCATAAATTATGTATTTACTTATGAAAGATAAGCATTTTATTCATTATCATAAAGATATACCAAAACAAATTGATAAAATTTTAAAAAATGTGTATTTTAGTGGGTATTATTCTGGCCAATGCCCATTTTTAAACGATTTAATATTGACCATATCAATAGCCGACTCAATGTAAAAATTTAGATATTATTTTTTTCATTATTCAAACTTTGATAAATTTTAGTATAATGAATGATTTTGTTTCGTGTATGATACAGAAATGAAAAGCTTGATTAATATCATTTTGCATTTTTTCAAGAATGTTAGAGTACATCTACATTAAAAAATCGGATTCGAATTGCGATACTGCATCAAATTGTTGCACATCTGATAAGGATCTCAAAAGAGTAAAGTTAATTTTTTTGTGTTTTTTTAAGTTTTTGGCCTTAGTAAAAACACCATCTTGAGCAATATTTTTGGGACGACGATAGGCCTTATTTGGCCTTACAGTGGACCCTTAACATTCAAAATTGACAATAAAAAATTGTTTGCGCTTTTTCTGACATTAAATATATATATATAAATTTTACAGAGGTTTAGTTGTGTATTCTTAAGTCACATTGATATATCCGGATCTGATATGTCCAGAGAGAAATTGCACTATTCAAACAAATTTGCAGTCCCTGGCCTATAAAAGACCAAAGACTACAAGTATATTACCTTAAGTCAGGATCTTTCCGAGACCTCTCATCAAATGCAAGACTTCGAAAAAACTCTGCCTTATTCGATTAATTACAAAATTCCTAGCTCTTTGGAAACTAAGGAACAGGAATTAGAGTATTTTAGGGCAAAATTCTTCCGAGAGAGCTCTATGAATGAAAGATCTCTCGGAAGAGCCTTGCCCACTTCGAGTAAATTTATATCCCTGACCCACAAAGGTTCAGGGTACTGGGGGACATTCAAAAATCGAATGTATATTTGGCCGTGTCTCCCATGGGGAATTGGGAATTGGGGAAAATTTGTTTTCCTGATTTTGTTGTTAGCTAATATATTGTCATTAATAAGAAAAATAGAAGTGCCGCCACTAGAAAAATTAAATATCAATTCACTGAAAATGGAAGAAAATTCAACAAAAACTAGATAAATAAAAAGGGGGTGAACTTCCACCGTTGAATGCCGATTGACTTCTAACTAATACCAATAGATAGTATATGCATAGCATAGTAATAGTGTATATGAGTGCATGAAAAGTTCTACGTTTGGTGATGAGATATTATTTCATCAAGTTTGCAAATTTTGTCACTTTTGTATCATTTTGGAATGATAAAAACGCTATTATCTCCTCATATAGCATAAAACATCCTAAATAACTGGCATATCTGGCTTTATCTCGTGTAATATATTCTAATTTCATGCGTTGGACATGATTGTGAATTCAATAATTAAAATAATATCTCATGTTTCATGGAACTATAGTCAATTCTCATTTTGTGACATAAAATGTTCATTATACCGAATAAATAGTTCATTCAAGTAAAATTCTTAATAAAATAAATATCATGTATTAATAAACGTGTTATTATTCATTTGTATAAGCTACATATAGCGAAATCGCTATTAATAAAACTCCCAATTAATTTTTTGATGAAAATTTAAACTAATTTGAATTTTTAATGATTTTTAAATAAATGAAGATATATTACATCCGTCGATAAATATTTCATTTTCAATGTTTATTTTTTTATGAATCTATATAATATGTATTATTTTGAATTTTCAATATGAAATTTTTGGTATCAAATCAAAAATATGCAAGTAAGAGTTCCATTAACTAATATGGAAATGACAAAAATATAATGTATTATAAAATTGTTTATTCAATATTGCAGTAGAATAGAAAATATCAAGAATAATCATGTATTTAGTATAAACAACGCGAATTAAACCGATTCTGATAGATCTGAAAGTTCATCTTGTGAATAACGGAGTTGCTTGCATCGGGCATCTCGACAGTAAACGTAGAACTTTTCAAGCAATATGTATACTTTTATTCCTAACAAGGGAAGTAATAACTGAGCAAATTTACGGTCCGATCGGCATTCAAAAATTAGGGTAAAAATTTTTCTAACAAAATGAGTATAGCACCTATTTGTTGTAGCTTGTAAGCATGTTTGTGGTGAAATAATTCGTGAAAATTCGATTTTGAATTTTAATGCAAGATATCGAAGGTACCTTTACGTTTAAATGGTTAAGTGTTTCGTTAAAAATATAAACACATAAGTGCTCTATTATATGGTTGAGCTTAATTGGTTTTGTTTTGATTCCTCGTCGAGATAAAGTAGAAACAATATGCTCAGGGTCCACTTTTTTGACCCAAAAAAAGAGTTCCCTCCCTTTTGATAAATACATTTTAAATATTAACAAGTGATATAACTATTATAATATTTGAACTTCATTCTTCAATAATTATTTTGACACATTACAAATAGACTCTGACTTCATCAAACAAAGCTCCTTAATTTTTGTCCACCAGCGTCCCGTACTTGGGGGATACAATCAACCCTCTGGGGACAAAACTGCATCCTTAAACTAATATAGTTAGATTTGAGTGGTAATGAATTTGAAACTATTATTCAAAACTCTCAAAATTTTTTGACGATTATTTTTAAAAAATTATGAACATTGAAAAGATCCCTGCATCTGCCCTAAAGTGTGAGAATGTTGAAGCTCAATCATGTTTGAGGGCATGCGTTAATGGCTTTTACACTAATTATAAAGGCGAAAGAGTTAATATTGAAGATCAAATTAATTATTGTTTGGCAAATACTAAGTCATATCCACCTAATTACGATTTTAAAGAGATATCTCATGATGGAAATTGCAAAGGCATTATAGAAATTAGAAGAGAGTCAACACTCGATGCTTTATATCGTTTAAGGGAAATCGAAGGTAAAGAGTCCGTTTGTGGTTTGAATTTTGCTAACCCAAGTTCTCCAGGTGGTGGATTCATGCGTAGCGCACGAGCACAAGAAGAAACTCTATGTAGATCTTCTGCATTATATTATTCTTTGATCCAGAAATTAGATTTTTATGAATATAACATTCGTGCTGGGGACCTATTCTCATCCAGTTACTGCATATTCTCTCCAGAGTGTCCAACATGGAAGATAGGCAATTATAAAGTTCTAGACAAACCATTTAATGTTTCTTATATCACATCAGCTGCTGTTATAGCAGTTTATGCCAAAGAAGGTCAAAAGGAAGAAATTGATAAAGCTAATGATGAAAAAATATACAGTATTCTTCGCTGCGCAATCGAAAACGGTGTCAAAAATCTTGTTCTCGGTGCTTATGGATGTGGTGCATTTCAAAACAATCCAAAAACAATTTCTTTGATGTTCAAGAAGTATCTTATTGATGAAAATATGAAGTCTCACTTCGATTATATTAGTTTCTCTATCATTGGATTTCCCGACACTAATCTAAATATATTTTCAGAAACTTTTGGTATTCCTGTTACGCAGAATAATTAAATTATATGATTGATCTTGTTTTAATTAGAATTACTCATATCAGTATTTTCTATCCAATATAGATACTATATTCACTTGTAGAAGTCCTTATATTAACATTGTATATTTTTCGATAATATTTTCATTTTTTGAGACTAAAATTTTGAGCTTTTTGAATCAATGTCAATAAAATCTGTTTTGTGTCTAGAAGTTTACAGATGTATACTTTCTGGCAAATAGAGTCATCGAAATCACTCAAACTATGGCCTTTAATTTCATATATGAAAACTTTTCGAAATAATTTTTGTTTTCCGATGAATTCAAAGTTATTTTCACTAAATATTGTATCTCAATTACATATATGAAAGCATTTTGTTATAACAATATGACATACATCTATCATTTTGGCAACATGATTTCTAACTTGATATTTTTACCAATGCTTCTCCGTATGATGAAATTACTTTTCACGTCTGAAATATTTGTTCTCAATTATAATGATTCGTTTTAATCAAAACAATGGAAGTTTTCAATTTAATAAGTAAATTTTATTAAATTAAGAAATTTTAACATTTAGAACTACGTGGAGTCAATAATTTCTGTATTTCAGGGCTTCTAGCTAATTGATATGGCTTTTTTCTGGAAAAAACTACAACATCTTTCCTTGCACCGTGCGCGAGAAAGAACTTTATCATTTTTTCATCATTAAATTCGGCCGCATAATGAAGAATTGTCTTTCCTTCATCATCTTTTGCATTAACATTTACACCATGTGAAAACAAAACAAGACATGCTCTTTTTTGGAATCTAGATGCAGCCATATGAATGGGTGCATTTCCGAGACAATTTCTAATATTAACATTTGCACCATGAGAAGTGAGGACTTCAAGTACTTCTGCATTATCATTCAATGCAGTGAAATGGAGAGGTGTTTGTTCACCTTGATCTAGTGCATCAATGATTGCTTTACGTGAAATGAGATATTCGGCCATCTCTACACTATTTTTTTCTGCTGCACAATAAAGAGGAGTAAACTTATTTGTTTTATCCCTTGCATTGATCGATACATGATGCGAGCGAAGAACTTTAGCTGTTTCCACGCTATTATTTTCTGCTGCAATATGAATAGGCAGCTCGTAAACATGATAAGGAACATTTTTATGTGAATCATGTGAAAGAAGGACATCTGCTACTCCACTGCTATCATATTCCGCAGCAATACAAAGTGGTGACTTTTTAATTTCCTTGGTATACAATGGAACACCACGCGAAATAAGAAATTCGGCTGTAATTTTATTATCTGAAATTGCTGAATAATAAAGGGCTGACTGGGCTCTTATTGGTTCATACTTGATGTTTGCTCCTTGTGAAAGTAAATATTTACAAAGAGATGGAATATTGAATAATGGTGAATATGCGAAGCATTTGTCGATATTCCTTTTGCTATCTAAGTAAACTGAAAATGCTTGAAGATTATGACATATTCCACATTGGAATAGATCAAGTTCCATATGGTATTCATCAATCAGATATGTGACCAAGTCGATGTTGTGTGAAATAAGTGCATATTCCATGCATTTGTCATTTGGGAGTCTTGTTATGACTGGCTCAACAACTTTCAAGCACTCACTCATAATTTCTTTGTTTTCACTTAAAAATGCAAATGCGAGACATTTATCTGAAATTTTTGAGTTGAATTTTGTTCTAAGCAGCTTAAAACAATCAACGGCACCATGATAACAGCATAATTCAAGTAATGAATATCCTTCTTTTGAATCTGGATAAAATCCACTTTTAAGCCTGTTGTCTTTATCAAATCCTGCGCAATTGATGAGAGCTATAAATGATAACTTGTCATCATCCATAATTGCCCTGTAGATAGTGCCTGGTTCATGAACATCCAATGAAAATTTCTCAGCTTCGAATTGTTTGAAATATTGCATGTTTGATTTATTGAAAATGATACCATACTCTTTGTTCATAAAATAATCAAAAACAGAACACATTTTGTTGATTGAATTTGGTTGATATTGATTATAAATTTTTATGAAAATTGTCCAATAAGATTTAAAATATTTGTTTCTGTGTCTTGCTAGATTTGCAACTATTTTGCACATCTGTGATGGAGAAAATGCTTCCTTATCGATTAAGTTTGTTTTCATACCTTCAAAAATTTTGTTGATTTCGTCTTCTTTGTATGTCTTTAGCTTGTATAATGCATTAAATGTATCATCGTATGACTTGTTCATAGCCATAATCTCTTGGTAGTAGTGTTTATTATCACTCATGAAATAATGAATTGAAAAAAATTTTAACGTTGCAAATTTCGATAAAAAATTATGAGAAAAATATTGGATAATCTATTTTAATTAAAATTATATAATCCAAAGTTCTAACGATATCGTCTTATCAATTTTTTCTGAGTGATAAAATTTCGAAAAAGTCCTTTAAATTTTGTTCTTATTCTGCAATTTAACAAATGGATTTAAAGTCAATATCTTATTACGAAATTATTTAACAGTATTTTACTCAAATCTATAAAATGCTGGATTACATTTTTCAATGACCTTTCAATTTTAAAAATTGCTGGATAGTTTCGAAGTATTCAATTTTTCAGAGCTATTAACACGCATGAAACTTTATGTTTCAAGACCACAACAATAGATGCTCTATTTTTAATTGGTTTTTAAGAGGTTTTCATTGAAAAAAGTTTGAATTAACTTTGAATTTTGAGAAAATTATTTTGTACGTTATTTAATGGTAAACAATTCTAAAATTAAAAGAGATTTTATTAATTGGAATTTCACATTTAAAGGAAAACATGATATATCATTTAGGGATGATATGGTTTGTAGAGCAAAATCTGTTAAAATATTTTTGTACGTAAAAAAAAGCAAACATTTATTTAAAAAAATTATAACAGAATAAAATTACTTGAAATTTCTCATTTTGATGACAGGAGGGGATCCTAATGTAGAAGTGACAACTGTTGTTGATTTAGGAGAAGGGAGAGGAGGCGGTCTTTGAACAGAAGAATAATCTGATAAAGAATAAGTGTATTCTCCAGTTTCTGAAACATTTTTAACAACAGGAGCTGGAGGAGGTTTTACACGACTTCCGTAAATAGAGTTCTGTTTCAATCTACTTCCATACAATTTGCTCTGTGGTTTTTCGTTGTTTTCTTCATTCAAATTAGACTTGCGAACTCTAGAACCGAATGTCGAGTTGTTAATTCTCGAAGAGAGAGCGGAATTTTCATTAGAAATTTTAGAATTTCTAATTCTTGATCCAAATGTCTTGTCGTTCTGTTGAATACCTCTTTGTGGACGGACTCTTCTTTGATTTGTATTTGTTCCATCTTCTGTAACTGTGTTCTGTGGAGTAAATGGCATTGGTCTTTCATCAGTTTTCTTTGGTTGTTCATCAAATCTTGAAACAACAACAGGTCTCAGATATCCTGATGGTGGAAGAGGAGGTGGCAAATCAATCTTCTTATCTACAAATTTCGGTGAATTTGTTCCATTTCTTATGTCACTTTTTACTTCACTTTTAAGTTCACTTTTTGTAGTAGAATAAGATTTGTAATCATCTGAATACGAATAAGAATAATCGCCACTGATATCTGATTCGGAGAACCTTGATTCCTTAGTTTGTGTGTTTGTTACTGTTGGTTTTTCATCTTCTTCTTGTGTTTGGGATTCATCAGAATAAGAAGGAGTTGAGAAAAAGTCTTCTTCCTCCTCTTCTTCGAATGAATCATCACTGTAATATTCGTATGTTCCTTCGAAAGGAATTCTCGCTGTATTCGTCGTTTTATTGGTTGCCATTCCTTCTGAGTCATCATCTTCGTCTTCTTCTTCAGAATCCTCTGAATATTTGACGGTTTTGTAAACAGGAGTTGAGTTCACAAACCGTTTTGACGATGACGATAAAGGAATTCTAGAGGAATACTGAGAAGCATGAGTAGGAATCCTTGATCCGTATTCCGACATTTGGTTGATCAAATCTGTTGATTGGACCAATTTGACGCGTCTTGACAGTGTCAGATTTTCTTCTTCATCGTTCTTTTGGTCTTTCACGAATTTTGGTGATTTTGGTGATGGCGGTTTTGGCAAAGTTGGTTCATTTTTGTCACTTTTTGGTTCATCAATAGAATTTTTCGTTTCAACCGACAAATTTTTATTTTCAACACGTTTTTTGATTAATTTTGAATTTGGTTTCTTTTGGTTTGGATCTTCACGTTTTAGATTAGGCATTATATCATTAATAGAGAACTTTATTTGTAGATCAGCCGTGTTGAAACTGTCACTTTCTTCTTCAGAACTTTCAATCAACATCGACATAGACAAATGTTGATTTTTCTGTGGCGAAGGTTTGAAAGATAACATTGGTTTTGTTACCAATCTCGTGACATGTTTGTTTGTAGAATTCTTTTTAACGAAAAGTTCTGGAGGAGTTCTTTTCATCAGTTCACTTTCTTCGCGTGAAATAAACAGAGGAAATCCGTTGTTTTTCTCTAATCGAAAAACATAAAATGGATCAAAGAAAGGAGAATGGTTTGGAACAGGGAAATCAGAGTCATTTTGATCGTAATCTTTAAATGACGGTGGTTTCTTGAACAACGACAAACATTTGTCACATACTTCTGTCTCCATCTTTCCTTTGTTGATAAGGAAATTGAAATCATTCACTGGAAAACTTATCGTCAATTTTGATTGTGAAGATTTTGCGGTTTCTAACAAATCAATCAAATCTTGACTGTTTTCTGGATAAGAACCATCGAAATCGATGACTTCGAGATTAGATGTATTAGTAATGAACAAATTCTTAATGACAGAATAAACAGATTTTCCAATCCTGTTGTTAGAAATGTCCAAAACTTTTACGTTTTTGTTGCAACTTCTGATTACATTTGAAGCATATTCTCCGATGTATCTCTGTTCTGTTCCGACTAAAGAAACTTTCTGTAAACTACTAGCGAGTTGTAAATACTCACAAAACATTTGAAGTTCATTTTGGTCAAGTGAAGTGAAACAACCGCCAAAACTAACCGCTTTCAAATCAGATGACCTCAACAAGAAGTCGAAAAGTCTTGCATCTACTGGGTTTTCGTCCCAAATGAATGTCAAAATTCCCGTGAAAAGTGAATTTTCCATTTCTTGGAAAGCTAAATCGAAATCTTCTGAATCCGTCATAGCTCTTGAGAGAGAAACATCGATTCCGTAGGCTGTTCTTGTGGATAATATCCTTATAAGTTGAGCTAAACAGCCATTGCCCCATGAAACGTTGTTTGCAATGAGTTTTGTCAAAGATGAAGGAAATTGTTTCGCAAAAAGTGAGGAACAAGCATTGCCACTGACATCCAGAACTCGCATTCCACTCATTGATGACCAATTATTAAGTATTGTCAGGATTTCATCAACTTGGAGTCCGCAATTTGACAAATTTAGGTTTAATAACTTCGGAAGACGAGGAACAAGAGATGATAATGAGAGACCTTGGGTGTTTGATAGATCTAGACTAACTAATGACTCTGAAACTTGTGGAGTAAAGAATTTTTCAGAGATTAAATCAAATGTTGCGGCAGAAAAGGTTGTGTGAAGGCCTAGAGTTGTTAATTTCTTTGTACCAATGAAGTTTGATAAAGCTACTAATGAAGAATTAGGTAATTCTTGATCAACAATTGAAATTCCGGAAATTACATTTTTCTTTTTGGAAAATTCATCAAGAAACTGCTTTAGTTTGTCACATTTCTTGCAGTTGAATTCTAGGAATTCTGCATATTTCAAATGAGGAATATAATCTGTATATAACTGAAAATTTGAGAATTCTTCGATGTAAGGGAAAATTATTGATTTAAAGTTATGACAAAGAGGTAAAACATCAAGAGCAAGTTGAATAATATGCTCTGGATTTGGAAATTCGCCAAAATCTAATGTTGATTCGTTGAAAATTAACATTTGCCGAAATTGCTGAACATTTATGTAATTCAGCTTTCTTTTACGCAATTTTAGTAACTGTTGTAGACGACTCATTATGCCAATACCCGATTGAGGCTGATTTCCAAAATTATATTTCGAAACTCCTGATGTTCGTAATTCTTTTATTGTCTGTGTTTGTAACAACGCATGGCAGATAGCACCGAATAGTTGTTTTGGATTTCTTGAATAAATTTTTGTTGCCAATACATCTTTATCGAGATAAAGTAAAACTTTTTTAGTTTTGAAACCAACTTTGCGTACGCTTATCCATGGAATGCTTTTTGTCCACTTTACTTTATCTTTTTCCTTATTAAAAATTTCTAATCCTCTTGTTGAAACGATAAGTATTTGTTTTTCTTTTAAAATAACACCGTCTCTGATTTCTGTTGAATAAACTGGCTGATGACCTTTTTTTTGTGCAATCTGCACAGCTAATTCTACTGAAGAAACATCCATAAATAAACGCAAAACGAAAAAAGTGACAAAAATTTTGATTCATTAAAATCATGCATTTCTACATGAAATTTACAGTTTATGCATTTCTTTTAAGCTTCTATGGAATATGTTTATCTTATAAATACCTGATTTGTATTGAATCTCAATGGGGAATCTCGATCTTCTCAAATTTGAGAATGTTCTCAATTTGCAGTCAGCTATGAGCACTAATGAACTAGTCGTTTGATGCGTTTTTTACTAAATTCCCTATATGGCAATATACATGCACTATCCCAAATAAATAATGGACATATATATAATTATGGCAGTCCCAACGGGAACCGCGGTAATTTACCGAGGTTTCCGCACACCGGTTCCTTTTTTTAGGAATTTTTTAGATTAAAAAATATGCTTTGTAAATCATTTTTTGTAAATCGGCAAAAATTTGGAAATATTCTGACGACAATAAATCTGGGAATAGTATTTGAAATACGAGAACAACCTATTTAAAAGTGTTTCGCTCGATTTTGTATAATTTCAAATTTTCGCATATAGCTTTCCGTGAATTATCGTGATTTTACCGCCACATCAATAGTTTACGACACTTTTCCCGTAAATTGAGTAGTTTACTGCACTTTTTCCGTAAAATTGAGTTACGGGAATCCGTAAGATTACCGTACCTCACTTCTAGTTGAAAATAGCATTAGTATATAATAAATAGATATATTATTCATATTTTTGATTTTGAATTACGGAAAAAGTGAGTTCAGAACTTCCAATTATTATTTGATTAATTATGTTAAAAATACTATAAGGAATTAAAATACATAATGTTGAAATTTGAATTACGGAAAAAGTGAGGGTGAAAGTGAAGTGAAAAAGTAAGATATTTTTTGTTGAAATAATCATAGTTGTACAATTTTGAAACTATATGTGTAATAAACAGAAATTCATCAAAAGTGACAGCTCTCAATTTTTTGACATTTGTAAATTCTAAATTGAATGAGAAAAATGAAATAATACTAAGCATAATACAATATTCTAGATTTAATTATAATTAGGAAAACGTTAGTTTTGAGAGTACTTTTCATAGGCATATAGAATGAAATCTTCTGAAAAATAATATCACATAAACTCATATTATTTTCTAATATATAACTATTTTATATAAAAATCAAATTCAATGATCTTAAAAGCGAAGGATAAACCTCAAAATTTATGAATATAATGAGTGGGAATATAATGCTTATCTATCATAAAACCATATGAAATATCAATTTTTGCTTTACGCCTAATTTTTGACGACAATTAGCAAAAAATGTTAAATGTTAACACTCAGTCCATTTGAATATGAAAAATAAAATTGACTTTGATTAAATGTTTTTATTTATCATGCAATTCTTCTTGCGACCAAAGATTTGAATAAAATTTCAAAAAATAAGATAGCTTAGAGTGTGGGACAAACTATCCAGTGTCACTTTTTTATTAACCTTATTTTTAAAAATTAATAAAATAATAATAAAAAATTATTTGAATCTTTTACATTAATTGTTTCTTTTTTAAAAGTACCTTTAAAGTACAATAAACAAGATTTGAATCTATTGATCCTTGTTGCAAACTTGAATATATTGCTTCAAGCATTTTCAAACATTCGACTTTTTTGTTTTCCAATATTTGTTCATGGTCATTAGCTTTTCGTAATATACGAACAACTTTATCACTATTGATTAATTGAACTTTAAATTTAATCAATAATGCTGGAACAACCGTTGTGTATAATTCAACAACAAAATCGTCTAATCGAATATTCCTTCTCTCTGGGAAATAAGAATGCTTGAGAACTTTGAAATGTGACTCACTGACGTTATTAGTCGCGTCACCTCCGTTGCGATAGCGCTTATTCCAACGATCTAAATGATGCCTCCATTGCCTATCGAAGTACTTTTGGGCTTTCGGTTCAGTGGAAAGAATTTCAAGAATTCGATCATAAACTGCATCTAGGTCTGCAGCTTCTTCTTGAGTGAGGTGCTCTGGAACTTCTTCACTTGTTTCAAACGTTTCTTCTTCTGGAATAAATTCAGAATCGTTTGGATCATCAGAAGATTCTCGTGGTAAAAAGATTTGAGAAGGTTGAAATTCATTTTCGATGAATTCTTCTTCATATTGTTCCTCTTCTTCAATTTCTTCTGCTTGAAGTAAGTGAGATTGAGCTGGTTCCTCTCTAGGATTTTCTTCTTCTTGGTTCTGTTCTTCCTCGGGAGATTCTTCTTTAGTATCGAATACTAATAATTTCATTAGATTATAAAATTCTTCAAAATTGTCTCGTGATTTAAACTTATCCGCTTTTCTTAATATGGCGCGAAGGACATGCACGCCACACCAAAGAATATGACAGTTTGGAATACCTCGCTCAATTGCCTCGGCTATTTGTGGGGCGCAGTCCATACTTATCATCTCGGGTTCTCTATTAATATATTGAAAATAACGACAAACACAATATTGAATATTTTCGCTTGTGTCAGGAGAAATAAAGAAATACAAAAAAGGAAAAACAATAGTATGTTCTGTTTTTCCTGTGAGTGCATATAATGGAATGTTAGCCCTTAGAAGTTTATACGTTGAATCGATGTGAAACGTAGAAATTTGGTGACCAAGGGCCTTCGCTTCGAAAGGTGCATATAAAAAAACTAGTTTTCCCGGCTCAGAGATAAATTCAATTAAATCTTCTGGACAACTTTCTTGAACAGATTCGACAAAGATAGCTAAAGAAACTTTTTCATCCGAACTAAAGCGTTTGGAAACAATTTCAGCTCTTTGAGCAAATTTACGTAATGCATCTGGACCTTGTGCAAATATTGAAAGTAACTCTTCGTCTGTATATGAAATATTTAAGTCTTGGAAACACTTAAGTTGAGCTGTAGCATGATTCATATTGTTTTCAAAGTAATGTTTAAGATAATTTCTGACAAATAATGAGGATATTGTTTTTGTTGATTTCGGAGGTGCAGAATGATCATGAGAGTCAGAGTGGATTAGTAGTTCATATTTATCTTGATCTATTATCCGGACTTTGAATTTAGCTTGACATTGTGGATACTTACATTTGTATTCGATCGTGGAGTATTCTTTCCTGCATTTTTGAGAGTAGCCCATGCTAGCTTTTATCTCTTCTTGGATACCAAACTGGAGGAGCTCCATAGTGTTGAATATCACGGGCTCCATACAACAAATTGAATAAGGTATTTCAAAATTTGAAGGAAATGGTCCATCATTGAATGTAGTGGCCGGGAATTGAATGACATACAGATAGTTTGAGGAAATTTGTTATAAATTATAATATAATTGAAGAATTAATTATCAAAACAAGTCTAAGAGCCATTTGTCAGATTTTCCCGAAATGCAAGGTTAAGATTTTAGCAGCGACTAACTTTGAGTGTACATATATAATTGTTATACTGAGTACTTTCTATCTGTGTTACTTATTTGAGTCTAAGAGCCATTAGTCAGATTTTCCCGAAATGCAAGGTTAAGATTTTAGCAGCGACTAACTTTGAGTGTACATATATAATTGTTATACTGAGTACTTTCTATCTGTGTTACTTATTTGAGTCTAAGAGCCATTAGTCAGATTTTTCCCGAAATGCAAGGTTAAGATTTTAGCAGCGACTAACTTTGAGTGTACATATATAATTGTTATACTGAGTACTTTCTATCTGTGTTACTTATTTGAGTCTAAGAGCCATTAGTCAGATTTTTCCCGAAATGCAAGGTTAAGATTTTAGCAGCGACTAACTTTGAGTGTACATATATAATTGTTATACTGAGTACTTTCTATCTGTGTTACTTATTTGAGTCTAAGAGCCATTAGTCAGATTTTCCCGAAATGCAAGGTTAAGATTTTAGCAGCGACTAACTTTGAGTGTACATATATAATTGTTATACTGAGTACTTTCTATCTGTGTTACTTATTTGAGTCTAAGAGCCATTAGTCAGATTTTCCCGAAATGCAAGGTTAAGATTTTAGCAGCGACTAACTTTGAGTGTACATATATAATTGTTATACTGAGTACTTTCTATCTGTGTTACTTATTTGAGTCTAAGAGTCATTTCTACGGCATAGAACTAGTATTGTCTCTCATTAAATATATATAACTGTAAACTGCTTAATTCATTTATCTATTTAGATAAAATTATATTTATATAAGAGTTCATGTTATTATTTCATCTTTATTATTTTTTTTATTCCTTTGAAAAGTGACACTGGATAGTTTGTCCCTTTCTCGATAGCTTAAAAAATAATATACGGTAGTGTTTACTAATAGATGAATAGTATATAAATTCTATTAAAATGGATTTGATCCAAAAAAATATATAAAATTTGATCATAAATAAAATCGTTTTAAATTACTTCTTCATTTAAATATATACAATTATTTTTGGTTTTATATTTTTTTGGATCAAATCCATTTTAATAGAATTTATATACTATTCATCTATTAGTAAACACTACGCGTATATTATTTTTAAGCTATCTTATTTTTTGAACTTTTTTCAAATCTTTGGTCGCAAGAAGAACTGCATGATAAATAAAAACATTTAATCAAAGTCAATTTTATTTTCATATTCAAATGGACTGAGTGTTAACATTTAACATTTTTTGCTAATTGTCGTCAAAAATTAGGCGTAAAGCAAAAATTGATATTTCATATGGTTTTATGATAGATAAGCATTATATTCCCACTCATTATATTCGTAAATTTTGAGGTTTATCCTTCGCTTTTAAGATCATTGAATTTGATTTTTATATAAAATAGTTATATATTAGAAAAAAAAAAGGTAGTGGGGCTTCCAGGCGCGTTGCGCCCTCTAGCCCTGAAGATGTTTAGTATAAATGAAGTTTTTTTCGGAGGGCTTCCAGGCGCGTTGCGCCCTCTAGCCCATAAAAAATTTCTGAGGACGAGCCAGCCGTTGACTTTTTTGTAGAGCACTCAAAATAGTATAACTTTGTCCGGACAAGTAAGGGTCTATCGTCGCTACAGGAAAAGTTACAGGCGTTCCAAGGAAGTATACTTTGAGAAGCCTTTTTCCCTTATAGAATGAGATGGAACAAATGGCATATGATATTTATGAAGATGTTGACGACACAACTGTTCCTGCAAGTGAAGTAAAGTCAGAGGAACCGAAAAGTGACGAAAAACCGATAGAAGAAAAAACCAAAAAAATAAACCAAAACCAAAGTTTAGTTTCCAAACTAAACCAAGTCAACCTTCATTAGCTGGTATGGGTTGGCGTCAAAGACTTATGGCAGCAGGCGGTTATGTAAAGTAAAGAAAAAAATATTTTTTTATTTTTAAAAATGCCCCCATATAGAATGGATAGAAAATCTGCTAGAATAAAAGCAGAGTTGCAAAGATATGGTTGGAGAGTTTCGAAGAATTTTAAATATAGGAAGGGAAGACCCATAAAAGTCTATGACAAATTGTCTGGTCTTCGCTACGAAATGGATTTGGAAACAGCACGTGCCAATTATCCAAACAGACTAGAGAGGTTAGAAGAAGAACGTCTTATGGACATGCCTTTCGATGTTAGTGAACCTCAAGTTGAAGGACACGACGGCTTTGCCAGATTCTACTGGAAACATGACGAACAATTGCATCCTTTGAGAAGGAAAAAAGGTAGTGCAGAGGATGGTCATGCTCCCATGGAAAGAACAAGATATGCATATGAGAAGTACCGTGAAGTTAGAAGTCAAATTACTTCTGGTCGAACCTTTACAGTAAACTTTGACGAAGGAAAGAACAAAGAAGGCTTCATGGGTGTACTTGCTGCCATACAAGACGGAAATAAGAAAGGACACAATCTCAGATTGACCATAACAGATTTGGATGGTCACATTTACTATGCATATGGCAATGAACAAACAGCTGCAATGCTTCTTGACGCTTTCAAGACTACAAAGAGAGAACAAATGGTTGACTCCGACTCAGACATTTTGAATGCAATTGAAGGAATTGCAAGTGTCAAGTTCGAATGGTACCAACCTAACCCTCAAGCAGTCAGACAACATGCTGGATACTTCCCCTTCAGAAATAAGTCTGACATTGACTTGACAAGGTATGGAATTTACAATTCAATTGAAACAATTGTCAATGAACCTTGCATTCTTACATGTCTCAGGAACTCTGGTCTTGTTACAGATGAGAAAATGAAGTATCTTGAGTCATGTGTGAAGACAAGGTACATTCTCAGAGGTCAATTGGCAAAAATTGCACCGTTGGCAAATGTCAATATCCGAGTCAACATACCTACAGCTAAAGGTTCTTCACATGACGACTATGTTGTTGACAAAGACTTACCATGGTTGAAGATTGTAATTGTCCACAACCACTTCATGTTGAACGAAAGTCTTACAAACCCATTGTTCGGAAAAGGCAAGTGCAACATTGTCAGAGCTGTAAACATTCTTTTCGAGAAAGGTTTGTTGGAACCAATTCCAGATGACAAGCTGACAGAAACTTTTGTACCAAAAGACGAAACAAACTTTTCATTGTTAGCAAGACCAAAAGTTGTTCCAGACAAAGTTCTAGTACAAAAGAAGTACACAGTTCCACAAGGAGTTGGTATGTTCGGATACCAACCTGAACCAGAAGAACTTCCAATGAGGTTGCAAGAACTTCAAGATGCTATAAACAAACTTCCATTGAGACATCCAATTGACGTCAAATTGTATTGGAGAGCATCTGAGTTAGGTCAGAAGGTTTTATATGAAACAGGTTGCTTCGACGATGTTTATGAGATAACAGGAGAAGTTTCTCAGAAGATAAGAGACTCACTTGAATTTCCACAAACTGGACCAATTGGTTGCGACAAGTTCGACTCAGATGAAAAATATACTATGTCGACCTTAACGCTGCATACATGAGGTTTGTCCAATATATTCCGACTGGAATTCCAAACGAAGATGGTGAGTTCCCGGGAAGGAACTATACAGTTGGAAAAGTCATACAACAACTGTATGATATTAGGAAAGCTTCAAACCCCAAACTTGCAATGACACTCAAATTGCTTATGAATTCGACATGGGGATATTCCATTAAGAAACCTCAAGAGATGAAGAGTAAACATTATGAGAAGGTCGACAACTTTGTTGAAAGGTTTTCTCCTTTTTTTTGAAGTACGAATTCACTCAAGGTCAAAGTGGCTTAGTAACCACATTAAAACCTATTGTCGAACATTGGTCTTACCCTCAGTTCGCAAAGGCAGTCCTTGACAACTACAACAAATTCTTCTCCGAAGTCAAATCCAAAGTGAAGGTTTACTATGAGAACATTGACGCACTCATGACGAACGAAGAAGGGTACAACAAACTCATTGAAATGGGTATGGTCGGTGAAAAGATGGGTCGATTCAAATTGGACAAAATTTTCACCGAAGTTCATGTCCTCTCCAAGCGTAAGTATTGGGGCATACTTGAAGACGGCACAGAAATAAAACATTGCATGAAATAAAAAATTTTTATTCGAATTTGAATTAAAATGTGGGAATTCTTGGGAACGGGAAAGGCTTATTTACTTGAGGAACAGGTAAAGGTGGTGGAGGTGGAGGTGGTGGCAACCAGTCCATTTTATATTCCTTCCTAGCTAATTTCCGTTTAATTTCATGGTCGCCCTCGGAGTCTTTGAATCGGACAGGTCGAGTTACACCATTCTTGGTCTCAAACACATATATAACCTGTTTGTCTGTATTTTCGTCGACTATGGCACGAGACACGAACATTGACCAAACGGACAAAAAGTGTCATTTCGGATGGTCAAGCAGCCAATCGCATTCGAGCACTTCGAAGAAGCCTTACGTTCCAAGGGAGAGGGTGTCTGGTGCAAGGCAGAGGTCATGAAACTCTACGAGCAGTACATCCTCAATGCCTGGGAGGACAAATCGTCCTTGAATTGGCAATTCTACCAACTCCTCTGGGACGACCTCCTACGCAACTGGGATAACGAAAGAGTCCAATTCAAAGGTCGGGAACTAATTTTGCAAATTACCCTTAATTTAACATACTTATCCAAATAAACACCTAAATTTACTTGGGGTTTCCCCCTAAAATAAAATTTTTTTACTCTTAGAACCACTCGAGGTTCTCCTTACGGTTGTTGAGCTTGTCACCGTCAATGTGTCTGACCCTCGTCTTCTTGTCTGGA